GAATTTTTTTTAAAGGGGGCGTTCCCCGGCGCTTTTTTTGGCCGGGGGCATGGGGGCCCGTTTCCCCGGCAATTGCGCGATTTGGAGGGGGCGAGGTGCCCTAAGTGCAACCTTGACCCCCCCCCGGTGGGGCAAACATTTTGGGAGGCTCCTCCGGGGCCCCCCCGCCCCCCCTTTTTTGAAGGGCTTGCCCCCCCCGTGAGCTTGACCCCCCCCAAACACACACCGTTTTCCCGCCTCCCATTCCCAGGGGCCCCAGGCCCCCCTCCCAAACCCAAAACCACCCCTTTCCCTTCAGGGGGTTTTTTTGACCCTCCCTTAAAGCCCCCCCCCCCCCTCCCCAACACCTTCCTTTCAGTCCCCCCCCCCCCCCCCCCAAGGTGGCCGCTGAGCCACGGCTGGCGGCGAGGCTGCTCGCGGCGCCCCACCTCGAGGGCCTGCTGTGGCACGCCGACCACAAGACGGCGGTGGCCGACGGCGGCGGCGAGTGCACCGTCGACAACATGCAGGTCCTCTGCGTCGCCTGCCACGCCGAAAAGACGAGGCGCGAGGCGCGCGGGCGGCGACTCGCGAGGCGTGAGGCTCGCACGGCGCGCGCCGAGGAGGCGGCCGACACGACGCCCTCCGCCAAGGTGGAGTCGCCGTACTTCGCGGCGGGCGGCAACGGCGCAGGGTCCCCAGCAGCGTCATGCCCCGCTCGCCGCAAAGAGGCGGCGGCGAGCGCGTGCGCCACTCCGCGGCGGCGAGCAACGAGGGCCTCTCCCTACTTCACCGCCTGATCCTGCAGTTGCACGAACGGAGCTCTGAGGGTCCGCGTTGCGCGTATCATGATCGTGGCCAAGAAGAAAATACCATGAGTCTTGCATGCGCCGCACACTAAACAGCGCACACTCCGCACACACCGACATGCAGACTGAGACTCTCGCGCGCCGAACCCGAAGCGCGCGACTCGTACATACAGAGGGGGTTCCAAGGGCCTCTCTCAGCCTCCCCCCGCGGTACAGGCTACAGCTCGGTTCCGGCAGGCGAGCAGGCGAGTCGGTGGCGTGGCGGCGAACGTCCCTTGCTCGGCCGGATCGCGACGGGATTCTGGACACTGGCGAGGATTGCGACGCCCGCGTCTGGCGCATACTAGAAGGGCTCCTCGTGCCAGACACCCACTGATGCCAGAGGGTCTCCTTACGGCGGCGGCGAATCAAAGCGATGCGCGGTACAGCTCAACCCCATTTGCGTCGCCGGCGTACCGGTACGTCCACTTGCCCAGCGGCGTGATCTCGACGGGCACCGTGACCCTGCCGAGTAGCGCGATGCCCTCTCCTTCTGCATACGAGAAGCGGCCGCCGGGTATGTCCGGATCTTTCTTGTCGCCGCCAAAGTAGAACCACCTGGTAGCGGGGGCGCCCCTGCCTAAGTAGTCCACTGGAAAAAACCTGCCTAAGTATAGTCGTACTCAGTGAAGCGACGACATTCCTGTCCCTGCCGAGCACTCCCATGTGTCGGACGGCGGTAGTGGCGGAGGCGACGGCGAGGCCGGCGGCGGCGGCGGGGAGGGCGGGGGCGAGGGGGGGGGCGGGGAGGGGGAGTCGAGGTTGGCCTTGTCGGGCAGGGGCGGCGGGGGCGGAGCCGCAGGGGGCATCGGCGGGTCTTGGGGAGGCAGCGGCGGGGATGGAGGCAAAGACGGAGCAGCTGGACTCTTGACAAACGGCCCGGAAGGCGGAGGGGTCGACCGGGCGGGCTGCCGCTCGGAAGGGGGCGACGGCGAGAGAACCTTCAGCGGAATCAGCACGCCGCCCACGACCGACAGGACGAGGACGCACACGCCGACGATGAGGGCGAGGGTCATCCACCGCCTGCGCCACCAGGTGGGCTTGGCGCTGAGGAGCCCCTCCGTGTTTGCGCCCCCGCTGTCGAAGGACGGCTCCGGACTCACCGCCGGTAATTCTAGGCTCAACTCTTGGGAGAGGCCAGAGGGGCCAGCATGCTCGACCATCCCCGGGAGGCCAGAGGGGCCAGCGGCGGACGTGACGTCCAACGAGGCCCCCGCAGCACCAGGCGCCGCCGCCGATCCCGCCGGAGGGACGTACGGGGCGCGGAGCGAGGAGGTCTGCGTGAGAGGCAGGACGGCGGGCTCCGGCGGCGGCGTGTCTGGCTCGGCCGAGCCGGCCCCCGCCCCCAGCCTTCGCCCCCAGCGCTCGGCCCTCGCTCGCCGCAGAGGATTTGGGGTCAATCGCTGCGCCGCTTCCGTGTCTATCCCGCAAGACCTCGGATGTCCGGTAAGCAGCCCAAATTCCAACACGTGTTTCTTTCCTTTCTGCTCGGTGGCTCTACTGTTTTCTGCACATCCTTTGTACGCTACGCGACAGCCCGTCGTCACATTGCTTACTGCTCGGGCGGCAGGCGCGTGAGTGCGAGCGAATAGTCCGAGATGGAGACCGATTTGCCCCCCGCCGCGAAGTAGAGCGGGTCGTTCGCGTTGAGGTACTCGACGAGCCTCAACCGGCCGCTCGCCGTGTCGGGCGACGTGGAGGAGAGGCTGAGGAGCACCTCGGAGTCGACGGTCAGAGGAGGAAAGTTGCGCGTGTCGCCCGCTACCTTGCGCCGCGCGAGGATGGTCCGCATGATGTCGGAGGATACAAAGGCGCCGTCCGCCGCGTCGGGCGCGGCGGCGACGCGCACCGAGTTGACAAACTGCTTTTGGACGATCGGGCCGGAAAACTCGACGTAGGTGCAGGAGAGGCCGGGCGCGTCGACGCCGGCCTCGTCGCAAGTCAGCGCCGACCGCACCACCGCCCGGCCGGCAAAGGCATCCAGCCGGCTGCGCGCGTTGAACGGGCGGTCCTCGACCGCACCGCCGCCAGGGGCTGGCCGCCAGCGCAGCTCGAGCGTGACGGGCCTGCCAATCTGCGATCGCGTCTGCGCGGCGGACGCCTCCGCCTCCGAGACGGGCCGGCCGGCGGCGCCGATGTACTGCACGCCCTGCGGCGTCGAGTAGCGACGCAGCGTCTGCTCGCACTGCCAGCGGCCGCTCAGCCAGCCGGGCACCTTTGGCTCGACCTTCCCGAGCGCCGGCGCCATGCTGGCCTGCGCAACTAGAGGCGTGTCCAGCCGGGTCTGCAGCTCCGCGTAGTCGGCTGCGAGCGCCGCGAGTGGACGCGTGGGCACAACGAGGGACGCAGCACCAGCACCAAAGACGAGTGCGCGGCGGCCGACGCACTCGGGTGGCGAGAGGTAGGCGGAGAGCACGAGCGCAAGCGATGCAATCATCCTGGCGAGTACCGGGTAGGTAGAGACCACGCCTCACTTTTTCACATTTTGGACTAGAGTTAGGCCCTTGAAGGGCCCCGCCCCCAATGGGGGCGGGGTTGAATGGGCTAGCGCTGGCGTGGCGTTGACATGAGCACGAAGTTGCTAATGTGGGTAGACGAACAAAAAGTAGGGTTGAATTCGTCCACGTAAGGCTTGGGGAGTGCTTGGGGTGGCCTCAGGCATCCCCAATGGAGTCGCAGCGGTGCCCCAAAAGCAGCTTTTAGCGATTGTCGAACCTCGAAGCCTGTTCGTTTGAAGAAAGGCACACGCGGTACTATCGGGCCACCGGTGTCACGTGGTGTCGGGTCACCAGTACTAAACAAAAATTCGACACTTTGAGGGGTGAGAGCATGCAGTATTGTGGCATATCATGTCACATAAGGTCAAGCTTGACCGCAGAAGCATCAAGAAGCGGATACTCCAGCTCGACTGTGCCGGCAACGCCGGCCGGCTGCCAGCAGCCGTCGCGGCCCGTGGCGTGCTAGTACAGCTAAAGAGTACGCGGAGACCTCCGAGCTCCGTGTGGGGGCCCGTGAACATCTTTAGCTTGTGAGCCAGGAAAAGGGTTTGAATTCGTCCACGTAAGGCTTCGCCTGGGGACTGGTTGGGGTGGCCTCAGGCATCTCCAAGGGAGTCGCAGCGGTGCCCCATAAGCATCTTAGCGATTGTCGAACCTCGAAAAGTGCGTTCGTTTGAAGAAAGGCACACACGGTACTATCGGCACGGTACTATCGGGCCACCGGTGTCGGGTCACCAGTACTAAACAAAAATTCGACACTTTGAGGGGTGAGAGCATGCATTCTTGTGGCATATCATGTCACATAAGGTCAAGCTTGACCGCAGAAGCATCAAGAAGCGGATGCTCCAGCTCGACTGTGCCAGCAACGCTGCCTCCGCGGCCCGTGGCGTGCACCAGAGAGAGAGAGAGAGGTCGAGTCCGCGTGGCTCAGGCCGGCCAGAAGGTGTGTGGCGACGGCACCGTGGCAGGAGTGCGGAGAAGAGCTCGCCGAACGCGAGCAGCGGAAGGCCGAAGTGTGCCAGCGCAAGAGCCTCGCGAACGGGTGCAGAAGGAGCTCGCCGTGACACGATGCCGGGCGGTGGTGGTGCTCTGGCGGCTGTGCACAGTGGGAAACGTCAGGCTGCAACAGGGCAGCACGATGGTCGTGCCCCGCTGCAGCCTGGCCTGACATGCACAGGGCGAACAGAGACGGGACTATCGCCTGGCGCTCGTCTGGGCAAACTTTGACCGCCGCCCGGCTCGCCACGAGCACGCAGCGACAAAATGATGACCGTGTCGAAGTTGAGGCTGGTCGAGAGGAAGAGGCTGCCGTGCGAGCCGGCAACTGGCTGGCTCGGCGTGGACAGCCGGCGGCGACTTTTCGCCGAAGAGCGTGCCTGCCGAAGAGCGAGTCTGACTCAAAGTGCACGGAGTGGGCGCCGCCGACCGTCGGGAGGAGTCCGATGGGTGCCAGGACGATCCAGAGAGCGATGAAGGCGCAAATTGCGCCGCCGAAAGTGGCGGTAGAGGCCAGGCCGTGCGCGT